CCTTTTCCTGTAAAGATTACTAAAAAGAATAAGAAGAAAAAAATTGTCAAAGTGGGAAGTCTGAATGTGCGTGGATGTTGTGCAAATGATAAGAAAGAGATGATTGTGGATGTTATGAATGAGAAGAAACTGGATGTCCTGGCTTTAAGTGAAACAAAGCTGAAGGGGGTGGGAGAGTTTCAATGGAGAGGAATAAATGGGATTAGGTCACGGGTTTCAAATAGAGTTAGAGCTAAAGAAGGAGTAGCAATAATGTTGAAGGATAAGCTATGGCAGGAAAAGAGGGACTACAAATGCATAAATTCAAGGATTATGTGGAGTAAAATAAAGATTGGATGTGAAAAGTGGGTTATAGTAAGTGTGTATGCACCTGGAGAAGAGAGAAGTGTAGAGGAGAGAGAGAGATTCTGGGAAATGTTGAGTGAATGCGTGGGGAGTTTTGAATCAAGTGTGAGAGTAATGGTGGTTGGGGATTTCAATGCTAAAGTGGGTAAAAATGTTATGGAGGTAGTAGTAGGTAAATTTGGGGTGCCAGGGGTAAATGTAAATGGGGAGCCTTTAATTGAGTTATGTGTAGAAAGAAATTTGGTAATAAGTAATACATATTTTATGAAAAAGAGGATAAATAAATATACAAGGGATGATGTAGCACATAATGAAAGTAGTTTGTTAGATTATGTATTGGTGGATAAAAGGTTGATGGGTAGGCTCCAGGATGTACATGTTTATAGAGGGGCAACTGATATATCGGATCATTATTTAGTTGTAGCTACAGTTAGAGTAAGAGGTAGATGGGAAAAGAGGAAGGTGGCAACAACAAGTAAGAGGGAGGTGAAAGTGTATAAACTAAGGGAGAAGGAAGTTCGGGCGAGATATAAGCGACTATTGGCAGAAAGGTGGGCTAGTGCAAAGATGAGTAGTGGGGGGGTTGAAGAGGGTTGGAATGGTTTTAAAAATGCAGTATTAGAATGTGGGGCAGAAGTTTGTGGTTATAGGAGGGTGGGGGCAGGAGGAAAGAGGAGTGATTGGTGGAATGATGAAGTAAAGGGTGTGATAAAAGAGAAAAAGGTAGCTTACGAGAGGTTTTTACAAAGCAGAAGTGTTATAAGAAGAGCAGAGTATATGGAGAGTAAAAGAAAGGTGAAGAGAGTGGTGAGAGAGTGCAAAAGGAGAGCAGATGAAAGAGTGGGAGAGGCACTGTCAAGAAATTTTAATGAAAATAAGAAAAAATTTTGGAGTGAGTTAAACAAGTTAAGAAAGCCTAGGGAAAGTATGGATTTGTCAGTTAAAAACAGAGTAGGGGAGTTAGTAGATGGGGAGAGGGAGGTATTAGGTAGATGGCGAGAATATTTTGAGGAACTTTTAAATGTTAAGGAAGAAAGGGAGGCGGTAATTTCATGCACTGGCCAGGGAGGTATACCATCTTTTAGGAGTGAAGAAGAGCAGAATGTAAGTGTGGTGGAGGTACGTGAGGCATTACGTAGAATGAAAGGGGGTAAAGCAGCTGGAACTGATGGGATCATGACAGAAATGTTAAAAGCAGGGGGGGATATAGTGTTGGAGTGGTTGGTACTTTTGTTTAATAAATGTATGAAAGAGGGGAAGGTACCTAGGGATTGGCGGAGAGCATGTATAGTCCCTTTATATAAAGGGAAAGGGGACAAAGGAGATTGTAAAAATAATAGAGGAATAAGTTTACTGAGTATACCAGGAAAAGTATACAGTAGGGTTATAATTGAAAGAATTAGAGGTAAGACAGAATGTAGGATTGCGGATGAGCAGGGAGGCTTCAGAGTGGGTAGGGGATGTGTAGATCAAGTGTTTACATTGAAGCATATATGTGAACAGTATTTAGATAAAGGTAGGGAAGTTTTTATTGCATTTATGGATTTAGAAAAGGCATATGATAGAGTGGATAGAGGAGCAATGTGGCAGATGTTGCAAGTATATGGAATAGGTGGTAAGTTACTAAATGCTGTAAAGAGTTTTTATGAGGATAGTGAGGCTCAGGTTAGGGTGTGTAGAAGAGAGGGAGAATACTTCCCGGTAAAAGTAGGTCTTAGACAGGGATGTGTAATGTCACCATGATTGTTTAATATATTTATAGATGGGGTTGTAAAAGAAGTAAATGCTAGGGTGTTCGGGAGAGGGGTGGGATTAAATTATTGGGAATCAAATTCAAAATGGGAATTGACACAGTTACTTTTTGCTTATGATACTGTGCTTATGGGAGATTCTAAAGAAAAATTGCAAAGGTTAGTGGATGAGTTTGAGAATGTGTGTAAAGGTAGAAAGTTGAAAGTGAACATAGAAAAGAGTAAGGTGATGAGGGTATCAAATGATTTAGATAAAGAAAAATTTGATATCAAATTGGGGAGGAGGAGTATGGAAGAAGTGAATGTTTACAGATACTTGGGAGTTGACGTGTCGGCGGATGGATTTATGAAGGATGAGGTTAATTATAGAATTGATGAGGGAAAAAAGGTGAGTGGTGCGTTGAGGTATATGTGGAGTCAAAAAACGATATCTACAGAGGCAAAGAAGGGAATGTATGAAAGTATAGTAGTACCAACACTCTTATATGGATGTGAAGCTTGGGTGGTAAATGCAGCAGCGAGGAGACGGTTGGAGGCAGTGGAGATGTCCTGTCTAAGGGCAATGTGTGGTGTAAATATTATGCAGAAAATTCGGAGTGTGGAAATTAGGAGAAGGTGTGGAGTTAATAAAAGCATTAGTCAGAGGGCAGAAGAGGGGTTGTTGAGGTGGTATGGTCATTTAGAGAGAATGGATCAAAGTAGAATGACATGGAAAGCATATAAATCTATAGGGGAAGGAAGGAGGGGTAGGGGTCGTCCTCGAAAGGGTTGGAAAGAGGGGGTAAAGGAGCTTCTGTGGGCTAGGGCCTTGGACTTCTAGCAAGCGTGCATGAGCGTATTAGATAGGAGTGAATGGAGGCAAATGATACTTGGGACCTGACGATCTGTTGGAGTGTGAGCAGGGTAATATTTAGTGAAGGGATTCAGGGAAACCGGTTATTTTCATATAGTCGGACTTGAGTCCTGGAAATGGGAAGTACAATGCCTGCACTTTAAAGGATGGGTTTGGGATATTGGCAGTTTGGAGGGATATGTTGTGTATCTTTATACGTATATGCTTCTGAACTGTTGTATTCTGAGCACCTCTGCAAAAGCAGTGATAATGTGTGAGTGTGGTGAAAGTGTTGAATTATTATGAAAGTATTTTCTTTTTGGGGATTTTCTTTCTTTTTTGGGTCACCCTGCCTCGGTGGGAGACGGCCAACTTGTTGAGAAAAAAAAAAAAAATGTAGATTTTTGAAGCTAGCAGAAAGATCACAATCCCATACTGATGAAAAAGAGTAAAAAAAGCACAATACCATGACTAGAATAGTACCCAAATAACCTGCATACTGCATAAGAAACTAAAACTTATGATGATGTTTTGGTATGTGCCATAGTACTATGGCTTTGAGCTCAGGGTCTGTGCAGTAGTACTATGTGATGAGCTCAGCTCACTCAGATAAGCAGTGAGCTATAAATCTGGGCCTAGATATGAGAGATTGGGTCTATGCAGTGAGTGTGCACCATAAAAAAAAATTCTACCCCACGCAGTGAATGATGGAAAAAAGCTGTGACCGTGTATTTGGTTTAAAATAGCAACTTGCAGTGTATTTTCAGATGGTTTTTATGGTTGTATTCTCTGGCATCATTTGATAGAATGGAAGAAATATTACAGAAATAAAGATGATTTTGATTGGTTTCAGGACTTGAAGTTGCTTGAAATTGAGCTTAAAGTAGCAAAAATGTTAAATTTTTGCCGATATTTCAGAGAACACAAATTATGTTACTCATCCAATACACGTCCAACTGGTCAGTCTAAGCATTCATGAATGCACTTACATTATTTATACAATTATTACAATAATGCAGTAGTCTACATAACAGTAAATCTATTTTTTTGTGAATAAAACTTCAAAAAGTAAAGCAAGTGTAATATAAGAGAGGTCTGGGGAAAACTAATGCCAGGAATGTGTACTGTGTATTGTTATTCAGGAATGTCTACATTGTTTATTCTGAGCCCTATTTTTAAATTAACAATTTTTTAATCTTGTTTGAAATTCGCCAAATTACCAATTTCTGATTACTGTATAGGGTAGTTGAAATAGTTAAATGGGTGGTTTCTTGCACTCAACTGATAGAATGGAAGGCATACTAGCAAAATAGCCAAGAGTTAGCTTGACTGGAACAATGGAATTGGCATCAAATAGGACTCAAGGTGGGCAAAATCTCTGATGTGTAAATATCACAGAGAGTCCAAACTTTGCAAGAGCATAATTCCATCAAGTTTTGCACTTTTGATTTCATTACTTCTGGAAACAGATTCTCTATCATTTCATAAGAATTTTTTTTTTTAATTCTTGGACCCTGAGAGCAATTCTCAGATCAGGGGTCTAGACCCTGAAAGGGTTAGCTAGTCACACACAGAAGCACGAAGAGAAGGGAGCCAGAATATATATGAGAAGGGGTGGGAGACAAGAGTAGTAGATCAAGAGGAGGGAGTAGTAATGTTGTTGTAGTAGTAGTAATAATAGTGATGACAGTAGTCATAGAAGTAGTGAAAGTGTGACAAAGGTGGCAATAAGTAGTAGTAGTAGTAGTAGTAGTGTAGAGGGACAGAGGGTGGAGTGTTACTGAAGATGATTCATACTAGAAATGTTATGTATAAGGGAGGCTTCAACAAGACGGTGTCTGTGAAGACTAGAAGAGTACAGTTATGACTCCTTTGCCTTTGCTACTGTCTGTGCGACTAGTTAATGGTCTAAGTCAACTGAGACATTATCATGGGATTGTCTCCTATGAGAGGGTTATCTGTGTATCCCAAATAATGCACTGTTTCAATGAATTACTGTATACCAAAAAAGTTCCATACTGTTCAAAGTAACACTAAACTAAATTGAAAAAGTAGAATATGTAAATACATACCTTATTTTGTTGTATTAGATGAAAATCTTTGCCATAAGTTTTTAGCCCATTTTCAAAATTTCTACATTCCTCCTCAGACCACAGTGTCATTGTGGAAGCCAGAGGAGTAGGATTCATACGGTGTCTACGTAAAGCTTCATCTACATTATACCCACACTGAAGCAACAAATATAAAGCCTGTTGAAAGAATTCAGAAAAAAAATCAATGTCCTACACCAACAAATTCTGTACTCATAAAAAAATAATGGGGTCTTAAATGGTAGGTTTATTAAAAGCCTCTGGAATTTTTAAAATGGTTACTAATTTAAGATTCATATAAGTTTGAATGATTTAGTACATCCTACAAGTTCACAATACTCGTCTGATATTTTACTTAACCCATAAACAGTGTCCAACATACTAGTGCACAAGTGATGTCTACACGTCCAACATACTAGTATGCACAAATTTTCTAGGCCTCAAATTTGCATGCCTCCAGTCTAGGCCTCAGCTGTGTTGTTTGGGTCACTAGTTACCTCATACCTCCTAGGAAAAAAATTCAGGTAGTGTGGGTATACATGGGGCAATGTGGGTAATCCTTCTTTCTTTCAACGCACCAGCCATATCCCACCGAGGCGGGGTGGCCCAAAAGGAAAAACGAAAGTTTCTCCTTTTAAATTTAGTAATGTATACAGGAGAAGGGGTTACTAGCCCCGTGCTCCCTGCATTTTAGTCACCTCTTACAACAAGCATGGCTTACAGAGGAAGAATCTTGTTCCACTTCCCCATGGAGATAAGAGGAAATAAACTCAAGAGGGGTGTGTGTGTGTATGTGTATGCTTGTACATGCAAGTGTAGTGTAACCTAAGTGTAAGTAGAAGTAGCAAGATGTACCTGAAATCTTGGATGTTTATGAGACAGAAAAAAGACACCAGCAATTCTACCATCATGTAAAACACATACAGGCTTCCGTTTTACACTCGCTTGGCAGTACAGTAGTACCTCCCTGAGCGGTTGCTGTCTACCCACCTACTACCTATAATGTGGGTAATATCACCCAGTAATTATAGGCTCACCATGGCTAGCCGACACTTCAACCTTTCTTGCAGTGAAATCCGGGAAATTCTGTTCAATCCTGACACCGGTGACATTAGAGGAGGAGGAGGATGATAATGGAGCACTATTTTCTTGTTTTGAAAGATACAGCAATGATAGTATGACCAGGAATGAAGAAAGTGCTAGTTCAACCCTTCCACCTCTCATCTTGCCACACAAAGCAGATGCTAATGGCTTTTTACCCCTGATTTGGACAGTTGGAGTGATAACAGTGGAGAGGAATATTATGTATAAGGGGAAGAGTGCTGATGCAAGTGATGGTGAAGCAGAACATTCTCCTATGAAGCGAACACCGGTGTGGTGTTACTCTGGGTCTGGCTCTCACTCGTGTGCTGTTCATTGTTCTATGGAGGTAAGTAATAGTGATTATGACAATGATGGTGCTTTCATTGGTATCAGAAAATGACATCCAGCACCAACACTTGTTGTGACAATAGCCATGACAGCACCATCAGTGGAGACAACAGTACCAGCTTTGCCAACACTAACATCGACAACACTGGCAGTGAAAACATGAACATTAGTGACAACACCAGCTTTAACAACATCAGTGACAATGCCAGCCAAGACAACATCAGTGACAACACCAGCCATGACAACATCAGTGACAACACCAACCGTGACAACGTCAGTGACAACACCAATTATGACAACATCGATGACAACATCAGTAACAACACCAATCATGACAACATCGATGACAGCATCAGTGACAACACCAGCCATAACAACGCCACAAGTAGTAACAACACGAGCTATGATACCAATGGCAAATATTAAATACCCACCAACCAACAGGGTGTGGAATTGGCAAGAAAATACAGTGGACCCTCAATTCAATTCAAAGTTTATTCCCTATAAGGATTACAATACTGAGTTTACAGAATTTGGTTATTGTGTGGTTTACATGTAGTAAAATAATAATTACAGAGTGTACCACTAGAACACCTAGCATGGCTAGGCATTTCGGGCAGACTTAGATTAAATCTTAAGTTTAAAATATTACAAAATTATGAGGTAAGTTGGTATTATGGCTAAGTGACTAAATACTAGTTTGTGAGTTTAGCAATGTGAATGCTTTTGTTTTGGCACTATACATAGTTTCAGTATTGGAGTATCACAGGCCAACTTATGACTAGTTAAGATTCATTATTTTGAGATTGTGATTGATATTTCTGTTTATGGTCAAATGGGTGAGTGAGTGTAAGTGTTAACCACCAGGTGGTATTCGTGTAATTAGTTGACAAGGTGTATCAAGGAGATAAGATGTTTTCTGATGGTAGTTTTGAAGGTGATGGATGTGTCTGAAGTTTTAGAATTTTCAGGTTGGGTGTTCCAGATTTTAGGGCCTTTGACATACATTGAATTTTTGTAAAGGTTTAGTCGGACACGGGGAATGTCATAGAGATGTTTGCGTCTGGTGTTGCGCCTGTGGGTTCTGTCACAACTATCAAGAAAGCGTTTTAGGTCAAGGTTAATATTGGAATTTAAGGTCCTGTAGATGTAGATTGCACAGTAGTAAGTGTGGATGTACTGAACAGGGAATAAGTTTAGATCTATGAAGAGTGGGGGGGTGTGTTGCCAGGGATGGGATTTAGTGATTATTCTTACTGCGACTTTTTGTTGGGTTATTATTGGCTTTAGGTGTGTTGCTGCAGTTGAACCCCAAGCACAGATAGAATAGGTGAGGTATGGATATATAATTGAATGGTATAGTGTGAGAAGGGCAGTTTGCGGCACGTAATATCGTATCTTGGAGAGGATCCCAACCGTTTTGGATACTTTTTTGGTTATGTATTGGATATGGGCGCTGAAGTTCAGGTTGTTGTCGAGGTATAGGCCTAGGAATTTGCCCTCATTATGCCTGGCAATTAGAGTGTTGTCGATCTTAATGTTAATTTGCGCATCTCCTGCTCTGCTACCAAACATAATTTAGTAGGTTTTGTCAGTGTTAAGCGTAAGTTTATTGGCTGTCATCCAAGTCGATATTTTGATCAGCTCCTCATTAACAATGGTGTTGAGGGTGGCAAGATTAGGGTGAGAGATGACATAAGTCGTGTCGTCAGCAAAGAGAATGGGGTTCAGGTGTTGAGATACGTTTTGGAAGATCATTGATGTATATGAGGAAGAGCAGGGGGACCAAGGACACTTCCTGCGGAACTCCAGTATCAAGTGGCTGTGTTGTTGATGCTGTGTCTTTAATGGTGACATACTGATACCTATTAGTAAGGTAAGATTTGAAATATGCAAGCGCATGGCCTCTTATACCATAATGGTCAAGTTTGTGGAGTAGGATGCTGTGGTTTACTGTGTCAAAAGCTTTTCTTAGGTCAATAAAAATTCCTAGTGGATATTCCTTATTTTCCAATGCTGTGTAAAGCAGATCTAGCATTTTTATGATTGCATTGTTAGTGCTTTTATTTTTCCTGAATCCAAATTGGCAGGGGTTGAGTATGTTTTGTGCCATTATAAATGAATATAGTCTCCTGTGCACGAGTTTCTCAAAGATTTTGGATAGCAATGGTAAGTTTGATATTGGCCTATAGTTGTTTAAATCTGTAGGGTCACCACCTTTATGTATTGGTGTAACCCTTGCCGTCTTGAGTAGTTTCGGGAAGGTGCTAGTTTCTAGTGACTTGTTAAAAAGTAATGAGATAGCATGTGAGAGGACATGAGCCGCTCTCTTGTACAATAATGGTGGGACATGAGACAGATTCCCCGAGTTATTTTTAAGTGACTTTATAATCTCAGTGACTTCCGTGGGCTCAGTTGGAGCAAGATAGAAGGAATTTGGGAAATTCCCATCTAGGTAGTCCCTGGCATGGGCATTGGTACGTGGGATTTTATTGGCGAGATTAGAACCTATGGTTGAGAAGAAGTCGTTTATCTTGTTAGCTGTGTCAGTGGGATGCAGTGGTGTTTCATTAGGTTTAGTTAGAACAATATTCTTGGTTTTTTCAGTTTGTGGGTCCCTAGAATCTGAGAGAGTGTTTTCCAGGTCTTTTTTATATCTCCTCTTGTGTCAGTGAATCTACTGGAGTAGTATAGTTGTTTGGCTTTCTTTATTACTTTGGTGAGGACTGATGAATAGTGTTTAAGAATATCTCTGTGTATTAAGCCCTGTCTATACTGCTTTTCATATTGGTGTTTCTTATCAATGGATTTCAGGATGGTGCTGGTTAGCCATGGGCAACCAAGCCATTTGTTTGTGATCTGTTTCGTTTTTATAGGACAATGTTTGTTGTATAGTCTAAGTAATTTGTTAAGAAAAGTGTCCTCGACTAACGATGACATCGTATAACGTTAAATCCGACTAGCGATACATTTTAACATTAACATTTTGCCTCGACCAACGCTAAAAAATTCGCCTAACAATATTCGTTCTCAGGTACCAATTAATATCGTTAGGTGAGCGTCCACTGTACTTCATTTGTGCCAAATATTTCACAGTATGATGATAATAATAGTGGAATTCAGCCAAATTGTCCTATAACAGACAATTCCACTGAACTGATGAACATTATTGTTGCTCAAACAAAAAACTATTACAAATACATGGTGGCAACTCTTATGTTTGGACATGTAGTGAGGATGAAATGAACTAGAATGACTTTGAGTGTATAAATCTGTAGTGGAGGGAAGGCGGGGTAGGGGTCGGCCTAGGAAAGGTTGGAGGGAGGGAGTAAAGGTTTTGTGTGTGAGGGACTTGAACTTCCAGCAAGTGTGTGTAAGCATGTTAGATAGGAGCAAATGGAGACAAATAGATTTTAGGACTTGACATGCTGTTGGAGTGTAAGCAAGGTAACATTTATGAAGGGATTCAAGGTAACCAGCAGGCTGGACTAGATTCCTGGAGATGGAAAGTACAGTGCCAACACTCTGAAGGAGGGGTGTTTATGTTGCAGTTTTATAACTGTAGTGTAAGCATGCCTCTGGCAAGACAGTGATAGAGTGAATGATGATGAAAGTTTTTCTTTTTTGGGCTACTCTGCCTTGGTGGGAAATGGCCAATGTGTTAATAAAAAAAATAATAGAACTCGTTTCAATGAAATCAAGGCTTCGACAATGGAAGGACACAAACACTGCAAAGATGTATCTGTTCTTTGTAGCACTAATGCTAATGCATTAGCAACATCAGCTTTCAGTGAAATCATGCCCATTGATAGCTTTCTGTTGCTGCTGCATAGATTGCATTTCTCTCACAAAAGCAATCCCCAGATGATTTCTTCTACAAAATATGAGAAGTGATTATGTTTTTTTTTTTCAACAAACCGGCCATATCCCACCAAGGCAGGGTGGCTCAAAAAGAAAATCGAAAGTTTCTCTTTTTAAATTTAGTAATTTATACGGGAGAAGGGGTTACTAGCCCCTTGCTCCCGGCATTTTAGTCGCCTCTTACAACACGCATGGCTTACGGAGGAAGAATTCTGTTCCACTTCCCCATGGAGATAAGAGGAAATAAACAAGAACAAGAACTAGAAAGAAAATAGAAGAAAACCCAGAGGGGTGTGCACATATATATGCTTGTACATGTATGTGTAGTGTGACCTAAGTGTAAGTAGAAGCAGCAAGAGTTACCTGAAGCCTTGCATATTTATGAGACAGAAAAAAGGACACTAGCAATCCTACCATCATGTAAAACAATTACAGGCTTTCGTTTTACACTCACTTGGCAGGATGGTAGTACCTCCCTGGGCAGTTGCTGTCTACCAACCTACTACCTAGAAGTGATTATGTATCTGTAACATAAATTCAGTGAGTATACACCCACCCAGTCAAGAACATTGTCATAGATGAGTCTAATTTTATTAAAAGGAAGATTTTCCTTCAAGCAATATATAAGAAGAAAACAGCATCAGTTTGGTATCAAACTATTTGTAATGTGATTATGAAACTGGAGAAGTGTTAGACATTATTGTGTACAGAGGAAAGGAAACTACTGAAAATACACATGGAATGCTAGGACTCTCTGGTGCAGTTGTGAAAAAAAAATAGAGCCTTATTAAGTCTGGAGAATACAAGCTCCTTGAATACCATGAAAGTCACTGATGGCAATAATACAGTCTTTAGTTACTGTAATTAATACTTAATTTTTAAGTTTTTATTGTACACTATCAAGGTCACTAAGGCAGAGCTGAACTATGTTCACAGAAAAGAATATTCAAGACATTACACATACTATCCAAATGGCAAGTATATAGTATACAGGGTACTGACAGATTAGCATATGAACTGGCAAACTGAAAGCTACCATCCACTCACCTGTTCATCATCTCGAACATGTTTTCCAAGAGGAATGGCTGCAACACCTTGAGAACCAGGTGGTGGATGACTTAGTGCTCGCAGGTACTCCTCTACCTTTAAATAAGAAGAAAAGAAAAAAGCATGTTTCCCTACCAGACAAAATGTCAATGCCCTATTTGAAAAGACACTTTTTAGCATAACATGATATTTATGGTACTGATATATTAGTGACATTTTTCTATCTTGGAAAATTAAATTATCTAGATTGAAGCATTAAATTTAAAGTAGAGTAAGAGAAAGATAGTGAGTTACCCCTTTAAAAATATACAGAAATCCTCTCATAATGCCTGAATTACATTCCTGAAAATCTGTGCATAAACATAATGTAGCATCAAATGAAGTAAAGAACGTACAGGAAAAATTGCTATGTTCCGAACAATTTCAAATTTGCCTATTAAATTTTTTACTATTATATTAGACATAAATACCTACAGTATAACTTACCTTACATTCTACTAGTAATTACCTGAAGTAAATGGGGTGAGTACTGAGGGTTAGAATGAACCTATTGGGCCAAGTTGAACACAGCAAGAGCAGCTACTTGATCAGTTGACATATGCTCATTAGCAAATTCGTTATGAGGTTGACAATGTTTCTTAAAACTCACACACCATCTACCGCTAGATTCTCAAAGAAACGTGTGTCAGATAATTAGAGCTGAGAAAAAATATTAATTAATAAGTGTGGGAGGCAGCATCAGCTTGGGCCTCTCTAGTACAGTATATATTGTACCTCAAGTTTGCTTTTGAGGCAATTTTAAGAGTTACCACACCCTGGCCCAGTCCCAGACAAAGCTTCCTGGTTACTGCTATGATGATCAGAGTTACCACACCATGGCCCAGTCTCAGAGGCCATAAAAGTTACTTGAAAAAATAAAATATTCAAAAATAAAAGAAAAAAGTAGAAAAAACAAAACAAAAACTATTACCGGGTTACCGGCAGTCGGCAATGCTGCCGTATGCGGTTCAATTTCTGTCAACTTCACGCCTCCATATCTCGGTAAGTATTGATAGCAAAAAAAATTTTTTGCCTATAAAATTTAGAAAAAAAAAAAAAAAAACTATCTTTTCATAAGATTTTTTTTTTTCAAATATTTACCGACCCTGAGAAAAGGTTTGGGAGAAGGCCTGCTGACCCTGAAAGGGTTAAAGCAAGAAATCATTGATAAGCACAGACTAGGTATGTAGTGTAATGAGATAAACATAAAAATTGTACACAGCGACCACTCTTGCAACCACAATCCTCCACCCTCCGCCGTCCACGTAATGACATATTTTATTCATTCTAGAGTGTATATCAGGTTTCTATGTTATTTATAATGTTTATTATGTCATATTAGATGAATTGTGACAAACAAATAAGCCAAAGAGTTGATATTAGGGTTATTTTGTCATGCTTCCTGAGAGCAGGAATTCAGCTGGAATGAATTAATTGCATTTCAATTAATTTACATGAGGAAAATTGACCCAGCATAAGAACAAATCAGGATACAAACAAGTCCACAGAATGGATTAAATTCGTAAGTCAAGATTCCGTTGTACTATTATTTCTGTTACATTTGTAGTCTTCAGCAGTAAAAACAACATAATACATTAAATCAATGAACTAAAACTATATATTCACTTTTATTTTTGCAAGATGTGGAGGCCTAAAAAAAAAAAAAAGTGCATTTTTTGGGGGCTCCCTGGAACGTAACCCTATTTTCCCCATAAGTTCTTCAGTTCATCTAACACGATTTTACCTAACACAGCATTTTCAGGAACGTAACTACAGTGCTAAATGATGGTCTACTGTATACTCTGATAATTATACCTAAATAAACTTACACAGCTGTGCTGGTGTGCAGGTACACATTAAAATCACTGTCTTATGTCTCAAGATGCCATATTAGTAATGATAATACTACTACTACTACTACTACTACTACTACTACTACTTCTACTACTTCTACTACTACTACTAATAATAATAATAATAATAAGGGATACGTTGTGTATCTTTATACGTATATGCTTCTAAACTGTTGTGTTCTGAGCACCTCTGCAAAAACAGTGATTATGTGTGAATGAAGGGGGGAAAGTGTTGAATGATGATGAAAGTATTTTCTTTTTGGGGATTTTCTTTCTTTTTGGATCACCCTGCCTCGGTGGGAGATGGCCGACTTTTTGAAAAAAAAAAAAAAAAAAAAAAAAAAAAATCACTGAGTCTCATTAAATGTAGTATATTATGTTAATATACCTCCTTGCTCATCTGCAAGTCTACATTCTGTCTTACCTCTAATTCTTTCAATAATAACTACCGTACACTTTTCCTGGTATACTCAGTAAACTTGTACCTCTATAATTTTTACAATCTCTTTTGTCCCCTTTCCCTTTATATAAAGGGACTATATATGCTCTCCTAGGGATTAGCGGAGAGCGTGTATAGTCCCTTTATATAAAGGGAACGGGGGACAAAAGAGATTGTAAAAATTATAGAGGAATTAGTTTACCGAGTATACCAGGAAAATTGCAGTCGGGTTATTGCTGAAAGAATTAGAGGTAAGACAGAATATAGGAGTGCGGATGAGCAAGGAGGTTTTAGAGTGGGTAGGGGATGTGTAGATCAAGTGTTTACATTGAAGCATATATGTGAACAGTATTTAGATAAAGGTAGGGAAGTTTTCATTGCATTTATAGATTTAGAAAAGGCATATGACAGAGTGGATAGGGGAGCAATGTGGCAGATGCTGCAAGTATATGGAATAGGTAGTAAGTTACTGAATGCTGTAAAGAGTTTTTATGAAGATAATGAGGCTCAGGCTAGGGTGTGTAGAAGAGAGGGAGAATACTTCCCGGTAAAAGTAGGTCTTAGACAGGGATGTGTAATGTCACCATGATTGTTTAATATATTTATAGATGGGGGTTGTAAAAGAAATAAATACTAGGGTGTTCAGGAGAGGAGTGGGATTAAATTATGGGGAATCAAATACAAAATGGGAATTGACACAGTTACTTTTTGCTGACGATACTCTCCTTATGGGAGATTCTAAAGAAAAATTGCAAAGGTTAGTGGACGAATTTGGGAGTGTGTGTAAAGGTAGAAAGTTGAAAGTGAACATAGAAAAGAGTAAGATGATGAGAGTATCAAATGATTTAGATAAAGAAAAATTGGATATCAAATTGGGGAGGAGGAGTATGGAAGAAGTGAATGTCTTCAGATATTTGGGAGTTGACATGTCAGCGGATGGATTTATGAAGGCTGAGGTTAATCATAGAATTGATGAAGGAAAAAAGGTAAGTGGTGTGTTGAGGTATATGTGGAGACAAAAAAAGTTATGGGTGTGAAGCTTGGGTTCTAAATGCTGCAGCGAGGAGACGGTTGGAGGCAGTGGACATGTCCTGTCTAAGGGCAATGTGTGGTGTAAATATTAGGCAGAAAATTCGGAGTGTGGAAATTAGGAGGTGTGGAGTTAATAAAAGTATTAGTCAGAGGGCTGAAGAGGGGTTGATGAGGTGGTTTGGTCATTTAGAGAGAATGGATCAAAGTAGAATGACATGGAGAGCATTTAAATCTGTAGGGGAAGGAAGGCGTGGTAGGGGTCATCCTCGAAAAGGTTGGAGGGAGGGAGTAAAGGAGGTTTTGTGGGCATGGGGCTTGGAGTTCCAGCAAGCATACGTGAGTGTGTTAGATAGGAGTGAATGGAGACAAATAGTATTTGGGACCTGACGAGCTGTTGGAGTGTGAGCAGGGCAATATTTAGTGAAGGGATTCAGGGAAACTGGTTATTTTTATATAGCTAGACTTGAGTCCTAGAAATGGGAAGTACAATGCCTGCACTTTAACCCTTTGAGGGTCGACAGGCCCTCTCAGAAACTCGTTCTCAGGGTCGGCCAAATTTTAAAAAAAAAAAAATTATTTTTTTCTTATGAAAAGATAGAGAATCTTTTCCCGATCATAATGACACCAAAATTATGAGATTTGATGGAAAACTTACGGAATTATGCTCTCGTGAAGTTAGCGGTCTCAGCGATGTTTACGCATCGGCGATTTTGCCCAATTTGAGCCCCATTTTCGGCCAATTCCTCTGTACTATTCGACAAAAAACATGAATATTTCGCTAGAACTACATTTTTTCTATTGAATGAGTGCAAGAAACCACCCATTTACCATTTTCGACTATCCAATACAGTGGTCAGAATTTAGCAATTTTGCCAATTTCACACAAATTTCAAAAAATGCCAATTTCCGAATAGGGTCCAGAACAAACAAGAAATACATTCCTGGCAATAAAATGGCATTTCTTCTGTTCATTAGTCACATCTCAAGGCCCCTCTTACATTCTTTTGCTTTCCACTTTGAATTTTTATTCTCACGCAAAATAGAAGATTTACTGTTATGCAGACTACTGCATTAGTGTAAAAAATGGTATAAATCATATTGGCGCACTTGCAAAAGAATGTTAGACTCACCAGTTGACGTGTATTGGACGCTTGGCATGATTTGTTTACTTTTGAACTTTGGTAAAAATCGAACATTTCTGCTACTTTGAGCTCAATTTCAAGGTACTTTTCATTGTAAAACCAGTGAAAATCATCTCAATTTCTGTGATGTGCATTCCATTCTATAAAATGAGACCAAGAAAACTAGAATACAACAATAAATACCATACGAAAGTACAGTGCAAAGTCCCTGTTTTATGCCAAAAAAACGGTGAAAGTTTTTTTTTCTCATTATGCACTGTGTGCTGCAAGATTTTTTTTATACTGTGCACACTGACCACATAGACCCATTCTTTCATATGGAGGCCTACCAGCCTTTTCCCGCGAGATTTGACGGCGCTAGAATTTATGCGTACTAGTACGTCAAAAACCCCTGCGAGTAAGACGTACTAGTACGTCCGAAACCCTCAAAGGGTTAAAGGAGGGGTTTGGGATATTGGCAGTTTGGAGGTATGTGTTGCATATATGCTTTTAAACTGTTGTATTCTGAGCACCTTTGCAAAAACAGTGATTATGTGTAAGTGAGGTGAAAGTGTTGAATGATGAGAAAGTATTTTCTTTTTGGGGATTTTC